TCATACATACAGCAATTAAAATGCAAAAAAACAGGCCAAAAAATATCAGGCATACTAACTGTTTTGGAGTCAATATCTGTTAATAAAATTCTTAATTTTTCATTGCCTCATAAATGCTTATCATATTTCATATTTTCATATTTCTTTATTAAAATGGTTTCGCAGTGGTGAAAACTAAAAATTAAAAACCTTTATTATATTAGAAATATTGTTGAAAAAAATTTGTTGTTAAGTGGTTATCTGCTTCTTAAGTTTAAAATGTACTTCCAAAAAGTTCAATATCAAAGTTGTAAACAATTTGATGAAGATTGAGAAAATAATCTTTATAAAATTGTTTTTGTTTTAGTTTTAAAATCCTCACCAAAAGTTTACATAACAAGTTTATGTTGGAAAAAAGAAATTGATAAGTGTATTACCTCAATGCACCAATCTGAATTTAAGATAAGGGCTGTTGTGACAACCATTCTAAGGGCTGTTGTGATAACCATTCTACCAATGTTAATGCATTTTTATAGTTTCATAAAGCATATATTGGTAAAAACTATTAATTTATCATTCAGTTTAAAAAAGGAGTGTATAAAACATACTTATTATTTGATATACTTTGTTTAATAAAAAATGTAAGAAAAAGCTTATTAAACGCAAAAAAAAAAAAATATATTTTTTTTCATTTGATTTTTCCAGAGACTATGTAAAGTTACTGCTAGTTACATTGCAGGGAATATATTTCTTAAAGTTTATTAAAAGATTAATTATTAAACAGGCAAGTAAAATTAATTATCAAGTCAAATATTTTGGAAACAACAAACAAGTTGTCAACATTGATAATATTTGACGAAACAACTGCAGCTGTAATTTAGAGTTATTTTCTTGAAAGAAATAATGAACACACTTTTAATCATTATTTTATAAGTTATTTATCATACTTAATTCAAAGCAGAAACTTAATTTATCCAATCAAACTCAGCAACGCTGCTTTTAAAGATGATAACAAACCCACATTTTAGAGAGAAATTGCAAATAGTACTGAAATTTAATCAAAATAAAATTTGATAAATACTTTACATTAACCAAAAAAACTTCTTGTGCTCTTATAACAACACTACAAGCAACTGCATCTCTTATGAATGATTTTTTTTGAAGAAGGCTTTGCAGTTGTTCTTAGTTTTAATTTAAAAAGTAATTTTTTGGAGCTAGGTTTTAGTAAGTATAATTAAAAACATGCATTAGTAAAAAAGTAGGTATAATTAAAAACATGCATTAGATTTTTGCGGGTATTCCCAAAAAATATTTTATCAGAATTTTGATAATCATTAAAAAATATTATCCAAGATTTAGCTTAGTTGTCTACATAATTACTAGTGTCAGCTTTTTAAAAATAGCACAGATTTATATACTAAAGCAAGAAAAAATGTTAAAAATTAACAAAAAGATTTTGATGTTAAATTTATGATTAATAAATGTTACTTTATAGGAGAAGAACCTATATATCCAATTTAACCTGTCTAACTTTATTTGTCTTCTGTTTAGTATTTTATGTTATTTCTCTTATTCAAATAAAAAATTGCAGTCATTCTTTTTCAATTAAAAATTTGCAAAATAAATTTTATAGATTTGTTGTAGCAATGACAAATTTACTAATGAAAAGCACCAAAAGTGGGGAATCAAGTATAGATCTCGTATTGTTAATAATATTTTTATAACAATTTGCAAAAAGAAGTTACATATTCATTAAAGATCAAGTAATAAAATTACAAAAAAGGCAAAGACAAAGTAAATATTCCCAGTAAAAAGGTATTTCTTCATTTAATTTCAATTATAAAAAATACAAAACTTTAAAACTTTTATTTTATGTTCTATGGAGAGTTTTAGGCAATCTTAGCAACATGTAAGGTTATTTTTAGTAGCATGTTGGTATGTGTTGATAAAGCTATCTGAAAGCCTATTTCAGTATTCTGTGTTATGAGAATAAACTGAAACAGGCGATCAGTTAACAAAAAAATTCAGCACAAAATAGTGTAATTACTCAAATAAAATCTAACTATTATTAAACCATGTTAATAAAATAAGAATAAACAAATTATAGTGCAAACAAGATTCATAACCATAGCGAAAAATAAGTTTTTATACTTGAGCCGTAAAAAAACTGGGTGCGGTTTCACAACATTTGCGTAACTCTTGCGTAGCTGAGCTAAAGTTACAAAAAACTTACGCAAATAATTTTTTTCGTAACTATTTGGTATTCACAAACTTTTCGCAGCATTTGCGTAAAGTTAAGGTTGCGCTTGAGTTGCGCAAAAACTTATGATTATAGTTTAAAATCATTTGTTATAATTAATACAACTCTATCTTTTCATATAATTACTTTTATTATATTATTTTTTTAAATTTTATTATTTCTTGTATATATATATATATATATATATATATATATATATATATATATATATATATATATATATATATATATATATATATATATATATATATATATATATATATATATATATACATATATATACAAGAAATAATAAAATTTAAAAAAATAATATAACAAAAGTAATTATATATGTTTAGATATTTTATATACATATTATACTATATAGTGATACTATATAGGAAACCGTGTAAACATTGTTAGTTAATGGTGTCTTTAAAATTATTTCCTTATTAGTTCTTTATTGAGTGATTAGTAGATTTTACTGATCTAACGATTACTCAAGAAGATTGTTAAAAAATAGTAATTATTGTTTCAAACAATTTATACTATGAACGCGTATTTTTCCTGCTATTGGATCAGTATAATAATTGCTCAAGAAATGAGCTAATAAGGAAATAATTTTAAAAACATAAATATGTAAATTAACTAATAATGTCTACACTGTTCACTATATAATATCTAGTGAAATCATGACAGAAAAGCTAACAAAATAAAGCTCTTTAAAATAAAACAAATAACATTTCACTATTAAGAAGTAGGTACTTTGTGTATATAAAATATATGTATAATATATATAAATATATCTGCATTATATATTTATGTGTATAGAGTTATTTTATGTTATTTTAGTATAATGATATGGTAAAAATGTAGCTGCTTATATTTTGACAAAATTTATTATTCTAGTGTCAGAAAACATTAAAGATTCAAAAAAAAGAGCTGAAAATTGGACGATTGAACAGTTAACTCTTTTGATTAAGCTCTACAATGAGAAAAAACAATTGCTTGATGGAAAAATTTCTCCTTGTATTAAAGATATTCTTTTGTTAAGATTTAATATATAGTATTATTAGCAAAGCTTTTAACGCTTAAGAATTTAAAATTACATAAACATTATTTTCAGCTATCTCAAAATTAACAAAAGATGATGTATGGAGCAAAATTGCGGATCAAGTTTCCCTTGTTGGTCCTGATCGCACAGTTCTTCAATGTAAAAAGAAGTTGTCTGATCAGAAATCAGACAGCAAAGGCAAAGCAGCACGTATCATATTTAGTATAAACAAGACTGGTGGGGGTGAGAAATGCACGGAAGAGCTCAATTCCATCGATGAGGAAATGGTGTCCAAAATGCCAAAGGCTTCGTACATGGTAATACATTTATAATACATTTTACCCAATAGCCCCTCATAATTTTGCTTTGTGTATAAAAAGTAATAATTTTTTATTGTAGGGAATACCCGGAGGTGTTGACACTCTTCAAAGTCCTAAAACATCCAACGATTTGCTTACAGCATTTTCCTTAGACTCTTCAACATTTTCGTTGCAACCAGTGTTGCACGATGCAACAAATACTACAGAAGAACTGTTAGTTTCTGATGCATTAGCTAGTTCTTTTCCGTTTATGACAAAGCAAGATAAAACATCTACTGAGACAATTTTATCAAAAGAGGTTCATTCCAAACATTTGTTTTATATAATGTATATGGTTCTTTATTAAATTGTTATTGTAGAGTTTTGCTCAAAACATTTTAAAAAATCAAACTATTTTTTTTTTTAATGCTAAAAAGTAAACTATTTTATTTATAATCATTACTTTTATTCACAAATTTTAATCGTTACTACTGTTATTGTTATTATTACTATGATAATGTAATTACTAAAAACCATGCACTGCCGAAAAAGACATTTTTATGCTTTTTCGGCAGTGCATGATTTTTTTCTTACGCAAACTTACGACTATAAAAACTGAATTTAAATATATATAGATGATGGAAATTTTTATATTTTTTTCTTTGCTTTTAACATCAAGTTTAAAAACAATTTTAGAATGTTGAACTCAAGTCAATAAAGACCTCTAAAAAACAATAAAGACCTCTAAAAAACTATCGCTATCAAATGTAGATGATTATATGAACAACATGTCCAAGCTTGGTGAACAAATTGTTGCAACCGGACAGCAAATAGCGTCTGCTCTAAATCCATCTATGAAAAACGATCAACCTCTTTTGGAAAGTATTGCTAAGACCTTAAGACACATTGCAGAATCAAAAGAACATCTTGCAAACTCATCTGAAAAGATTGCGAGTGCCCTTCAAGAGATTGCTTCAGCTATCTCAAATAGCTGAAGCAATCTCTTGAAGCGCACTCAAATAACCAATAATTGTAAATGATTTATTATTGTCGACTGATAACTGATTTGTTATTGATTTCATTTATTATTTAAAAAGGCAAAAATTGTTTATCTTTACCTAAAAACAAATATTAAAATATAACAAAAAAATTATGACCAAGCTGAATACTTGCCATAACATTGATAATATAGAAAAGTTTATTTTAAATTCAAAATAGTAATATTACCCTTTGCATTCTGCTACATTAACACTCTGCAAATATTCAAGATACTGGAAAAAATGAAATTAATAAGAGTTTAAAATGATTTTTAAATTCACTAATTAAAATCAACAAAATTTACTTTATACACACCATCAATAATACAGATAACAAAACCAAACATAGAAACCATAAAATGTAGTTAATAAAGTTAAATAAGACGCCCATA